TCCGTGTTTGGTGGGTCGAGCCAGAGTGGCTCGCTCGAGCGAGCGGTTGCACCTGGTTCTGGACCTGAGAGCTGTCTTTCTTGGCTCGAGCGAGCTTTCTTCGTTCGAGCGGTCTGGATTTTTCTTCGCTCGATCGAGAACTTCTTGGCTCGAGCGAGAGTTTTTCTGTGTCTGGTCGCTCGAGCGACCAAGCCTTCGCTCGAGCGAGCGTTGTTTATATCAGCGGACAGCAGCGTCTAAAACACACTTTTTCACTTTCTTTTTGATCCAAAACCCTTAATCCGACACTCTCTCTCCCTAAACTTGCACTCTCTCTAAGATTTGATCTCCCTAGGGTGTGAATCTAGCCTAGGGCCTTTTGTTAAAAAGATAGAGGGGCGTTGAGAGCTTCGATTTAATCTGAAAAAGTTTGGATTTGGAGCAAGTTGATCTTCGAGTTTTCATCTCCTTTTTGGCTAAAACTTCAAGGTAGGATATCCTACTCCTCTCTATGGGTTTTGTCTTTAAATTTTTGGTTATTTGAGATGTTGGGCTTGGTTTGGTAATTTTGTGAAAGTTTGGGGCTTTTGTGTAATTTTAATAAAAGTTGGGGTTTTATTCATAATAAACCTAGATGCATGTTTGGCATAGAAATGTGAATGATGTTGAATCATTGATGAAAATGGGCTAAGGGTTGAAATGTTAATTATGGGAATTGACCTAATTACTTGTTTAATTAATTGGGATAATTAATTGAGAAGAATGAAGAAATGAAATGTTGATTGAATATCCATTGTGCATTTATTTCTGTTTAGAAATAACTGCTTTGGGCTATCGGTGGAGGATGTCGTGATTGTTGTAGACAATGCATGATGATTAGTCAAACTGAAACTAATCAATGAAATGTGTCATGAAACCTTGACGGCTCGAACCCCACTCTCGCTCGAGCGACCAACTCTTCGCTCGAGCGAAGGTCCAAAATTCTGGGCAGCAACACTAGGCTCCCGAACACAACCAACCTGTAACAAACCTGCCTAACACATCCTATAACTCAAATATGAAGAAAAAGGAATGTAAACACGATAATAACCAACTACCAACATCTACGGACACATGTCCGGATCACTGTACAACAAGGGAAAACCCGGGATCGCTATATTATCTATACTGAGACGATGGTTATGGTTGCTGGGTTCTAAATCTAGATACTCTACTTTTTTCATACACAAAATTAACTCTTACTTTAAAATTATTACAAGTTACTATAATATGAAATTTATAACTAAAATATCCAAAAATAAAAACTACTCTATTACCATAAACAAAATGCATAAACTAACTTAAACTGTTCTAAAACCGAACACTGCTCTGATACCAATTTTTTGGGGTATGAGTTAGTGGTCTACCACTATTTTTGAAATTGGGCTGAGAATGATCTAATTAATTCTACAGTTATGTTAATAGGTCTTCAAGCTGTTGTATGGCTAGTTTTAAGGCTTCTTGTTTTACAGTTAGCTGTTTATTTATCTGAGAAATTTTTAAACTGTAATTTTCTAAAGATCTGCTAGAAGCTAATGATAAAAGAAACTGATATCTTGATATTTGATCTTCTAATTCTGGTATAAGTTCAGTACTAATTTTGATTTTAATCCTAAGTTTTTCTTCTAAGGGCATAAAGTTTTGATTTTTTAAATTTCTTTTATGGACAATATTTCCTTAATATTTATACTCGGGTTGCTCTCCTTTTATTCTAAAATTCTTTTTCTTTGGCAAAAACTATTTTTAGGCAATGTTTATTTTCATTACATGTACTCCCACCTTGAAGCTAAGTCTCGTTCAACATAGTATATTTTTATTTTCTAATTTTTACCTTTCCCTTTCTGCCTACAATTTGCCCTCCAACGCCTAACCACGGCTCACACGGGCTCTTCAGCTAAGGCCACTCAGTAAATAAATTAGAAAACAATAGATACTACGAAGGTGCAAAGCATGTAATATTAATGAGCAAACAAGCATTCCATAAACTTAGTTTTTCCAAAAAGAAAATAAATTTTTAAAATAGAAGAGTTACTCTTTTGAAATATTTAAGGAAAAAGAGAAACTACTCGCACTTCATATTTATAAGAAATATACTTACAAAGATTATATTACAGACTTTGAGATTCTGAAAACTTAGTACACTTAGAGGTTTTTGAGAGGGGTTGAAAATTTTACAATGCAGAGTGAAAGGGTATTTTTCATTCTGCCTCTTTCGTTGGCAAGCATGCCAATTTATATTACATCAAAAGAAGAAAAAACAAAACTCAAAAGATTATGCCCAACATTTTACGTCTAAAACTTTTCAAAGAGTCAAAACCTATGTTTCCCTAGACCTAGGCTTTTTGACAATATTTCCAAGCATGTGCAAAATTTCTATACATGTTGACGGACAATTATATGCATATTTTCCTAATAAAGACAAATGGAGGTTTAGGATAATGATGCCGAGTACTGCTTTGGCCCCTATCGCACATCATTCAATCCTTCATTTTTGATAAAATTTTGACACTATAATTTATTACAGGACACGTGTAAGGATTTTCACAGCTTTTCTTTAATAAAGCAGGATAGAGTTTATCTGCTTTATCAAAGTAGTGAGGGAATGAAAAACCTTATCACTGATAGACTCAGATAATTACAGACAAATATCTACGGAATTTTTGTCTTTTTCTGGCGTGCGCTTGTCTGATAATTGAAGAAAAGCCTTATCTTCTACGGATTTTGTCATCTTTTGCTGGAATATCAATTATTGATGTTAACGCTTGATGGTTGATTCTTCAAAGCGGATTCCTTGTGGAAGATTTGCAAAATTTGAAGAGTCAGGAATCTTGGAATATCTTCAAAATATTATATGAGTTTTTTTTGTGGAGTGCACATTTTTATTGTATTTATTCACAAACAAAAAAAAAATACTAAAAATAATAAAATACCATCTGGTTATTCCTAATGAAGTTGCTCTGTTTCTTGTTGCCAAACACACACGTATATGTTGAGAAACATCGTAGGGTGTAGAGGAGCATTTTCCCTGAGGATCGAACTATCGGAGGCGGGAAGAGAAAGACGATCTCCACACTCTATCTCTCTCTAGATTTTGCTCTCTTTCTCTCTCTAAAATGGCGGCCAAGGAAGAAGAAGCTCCAAAGATTGAAGAATCGAAGATGGCAGTGAATGAAGAAGAAGAAGAAGACGACGAGCACGGTTGCAAAGAGAGGGTTCTGATGAAATACTTCCTTTTGGAATGGAAGCTCGTCAAGTCTCTCCTCGACGACATCGTTTCCAATGGACGAGTCTCAGATCTCTCTTCTGTTTACAGGATCCGATCCATCGTAATCTCTCCCTCTCTGTATCTCCTGTCTCTTCTCTTCTCTTCTCATCCACGTTTTTACAACTATTTTACACCTTAATTGGTCTTTTAATCAAAATGCTACAGTTGCCTGATTGAATGTGCCTTCATATGTATGTTTGTATGTATATGAATTGACTATGCATTTTTGGTTTTGGGTTTGAATTTGTTTTGATTTTGCAATTTATTCTGTTGAAAATCAAGTGCATTTGACAAGCAACACTTGGTGGTGTTGCTAAGAATATTATCTTGAAGCTTGCTTCCTCAGTTTTGGGTTAGAACAAAAACTTCTCGTGTTAGGTGTCAATTATCAATTGCCATCCCCATGTTGACTCCTGAAACACCAACACAAAAGTCATGGCTACACTATATAAATTAATCACATTCAGGTAGGTTACCACATAATAAATACAAGTCTAATTTTGAAAATGATTGACAAGAGCTAGGGGTGAGCATGGTTTGGATTGGTTCGGTTTAGGAGTAAATCAGGACCAAACCATTACTTACGGCTCCATAAAATTTGGAACCAAACCAAACTATGAAAATCTTGAAACCACACCAAACCATGAAAATCTTGAAACCACACCAGACCAACCCACCAAAACATGGTTTGGTTCGGTATGGAGCCATGATTTCTAGAAACCTTTTCATCATTCACAATATGTTCACAAAATATTGTTTACAACTTAAAGAATTGTTTAGACTAGTTCTACCACTATATAAAAACACACTTGCAAAAGTACAGGGTAGTAACTTATATATATCTATATATTTAATACTAATAAGATAGTTGAGTGTTGGTGATAGTTAACAAATTATATATATATCTATAAGATACAAGTTGGTTCCAAAACAAATTTGTAACTATAAAACCACAGACCAAAATATGAAGTTCGGTTCGCCTATTTTAAGAACCGAGACCGAACTGTGCAGTGAGAAAACTAAACCAAGCGATTTGGTCTAGATCAGACTGGTTTGCAGCTTTTCAATTTTTATGCTTAGTCCTAACAAGAGCTGCTTATTTAAGCAATGTTTTGGATTCACTCAAGTGCGGACTAACGTGTTGAAACCTATGTTACATAGACTTGGATATAAGTATTGTGTGTGGGTGTGTGTTTAAGTGTCATATCTTCATAGACCTACATCTTATGATATTCACATATGCCATCCAAAACTAGAGTATGGATGTTATGAGGACACGTCTTAAACACACACACACACATACACACACACACACACACACATATTGCATATTGTATTATATTATTAGATAGGACGCTGTAAATTGTTTTCAAATGTACTTCAAATTAAATTAAATTTAAGAAAAATAAGGAATTTATATCTCCCAATCATGTGACAAGCCGTGTGAGTGTCTTCTTAAAATATCATACCAAATTAGAGGATTTGAGTGTCTAAATTGGGTACGAGTTTCGGACACAATCCCACAATCTTACATTTATCATATCCAATGGACACATGTACACTGGGGGAAGCAGAAAAGACATGTAACGCAAGTTCAAATTGCTATATCATATATATATTAGGATTGATTACAAAATGTCCATTGATTTTATACAATGGCCTAGCCTGGTTTTTTAGGTATCGAATCTAACATTATCACTAATCCAAAATTGTCTAGAAAAATAGTGTAAGAAAAGGAGAGAAATTGGTTGAATGATCAATGGTGGCAGCTTGGACTTCTATCCCACTATATTAAAAAGCTTGTTTTCCTTGTTATTGGTCAAAGAGTACATAGATCTTGAACAAAAAATGTTTGCATCCTAAACTTGATGCATACCATCTATTATATGAGGATGCCTTCCTTTATGCAGGACTTACGAGTAGATGTGTGGATGAGTGGTCGATAACTCAGGGGATGGTTGATGGTCTAGCTTTGTAGCTTTCACAGGATACATTCATTTGGAATAGATTGATCCAGAGTATGATTGAATAGTCAATAAGGAGAACTTTGTTGAGCATTTTTTGTTAGACTTATATGTTACACGAACTCCACAAAATAAATCAAATACCCGTGTCAGACACCTGACACTCGGACAAGGGTATGGGATATGTGTTGGCAATTTTTCAATGGATACTTCTTATATAATTGTATATGACACTATTATTATATATACATGTTGTATAATTACTATAAATGTCTTTTTGACACTGTAAGTTATATATAGTACCATTCTGTCTCGCATGCTTGATTAAAAATATAAAAATATGACATTTTTTTACTGAGTCTATGTACCCTTAAATTTATGATTTAATGAGTCTGACTTCTAGATACATGCCCACACTAGACACCCCTATCCGAGTCCATGTAACATATAAAACCATCTTATGAGGGGATTGGGAGTATAGATGATCTTCACTTGGACATATTGATTACCAGTTTGTGAAACACTTAATATGGTTTGTTGAAACCCTTGACGAGCTTTAAGTTAATAGCATCTGTTGTTTTGCACTCTGTTCAGCTGTTCCATTTAAGATTTAAAAAAAAAAAAAGAAGTTAATTTTTTCATCTTCCTTCTATCTTTACACATAGTTGATAGGAGGGAAATCATTAAACTAACATTTTGAAATTTTCTACTTTTGTTATGCAGGTGGACAAGTATCAGGAACAGGGTCAACTTTTGGAGCCTTACCTAGAAACCATAGTTTGTCCACTGATGTTCATTGTGCGGTCTAGAACCATTGAACTAGGGGTAGACTCAGATGAAGTTCTTGATATAATCAAGCCTATATGCATTATTTTATATTCTCTGGTCACAGTTTGTGGGTACAAAGCTGTTATCAAGTTCTTCCCACATCAGGTTTCTGATTTAGAACTCGCAGTATCTCTCTTAGAGAAATGCCATGTTGTAAATTCAGTAACATCACTGCGGCAAGAAAGTACAGGAGAGATGGAGGCAAAATGTGTGATATTACTGTGGCTTTCCATTCTTGTGTTAGTTCCTTTTGATATCTCCTCTGTGGATAGTAGTATTGTCAACAGCAATTCTCCTGGGGGAGATGAGTCACCCCCCTTGGTACAGAGGATATTAGGGTTCTCTAAAGATTACCTTTCAAATGCGGGTCCCATGCGCACCATATCTGGATTGCTGCTCTCAAGGCTTCTAACACGCCCTGATATGTTGAAGGCTTTTATCAGGTTTTTCTCATCAAATATGTAGGCATTTACTTTTAACTGATAGGAATATAATGAATTATCATAAAGTCTATAATATGCAATTTTGGAAATATGAGGCATTGATATGGATATGTGATACACCGATATGGGCATGATACAAAAATGTGCTTATCGGTGTGAAAATGAAAATAAAAAAATTCTGATGTGTGATCGGTTGCTATTTTGAGTTAGTGTAACAACTTTGCCATCCTGCATTTTGTGACCGTAGTCTAAGAAGCATGACACGGATATGTGTAAAATATGATACGGACATGTGTAAAATATATAACTTTATATATTTATTATATGTTATATATAAGGATAAATGATTATCATATGTCATATATATGAATATTTAAGTCAAATATAATAAGTTTTAAAGTCTAAAAGGCCTTAGATGTGTTCGTGCTGCTTAGATTGTAGTTATTGAATAACGTTCATAGCTTGAGATCAATTGATGCACACATAGATATGTAAAGCAAGAAATATAGCCAATTTTGTGCTTAAGTTGTTTTACATTCAAATTCTCCCCTTACCCCCTATTTAATATAGGTTTCCCTATATAATTGATTTGGGAAAACATTGCAAATGAATATTTTGCTAGACTTCTTTACATGGGTGTTTTGTGAAGTGCTCGTAATTATAATTATTCTATGGTACTGCTTGAGCTAAAAAATTGTGCCCCCCCCTCCCCCCCCTTTTCCTTTTCAGCTTCACTGAATGGACACATGAAGTTCTATCTTCGATCACAGACAATGTTATGGATCACTTTCGGTTGCTTGGTGCTGTGGAAGCACTGGCTTCCATCTTCAAGGTTTGCTTTTGGTTTTCCATTGCATATTCTTTTACTCATCATGTGATTGTGCACGATGCTTCTCCATAGCTTATTCTCTCAGTAATTGTATATGAGTCCATTTGTCCACATGCATAGGTACATGGGCCGCTCAGATTGCTACCCTTGGGGTTGAGCTATGCCGGTTGAGGCTTATGCATGTGGTGCCTTACTCCTAGGCACTTGAGGACAATCTCCAAAGGCACTAAGTACACTTGCTGTCTCGTGCTTAGTCCCCCTCAATTTGTTCAAGTGACCTCCATCCGAGAGCAACATGGTGAGTGTACCAATGTATGCACTTATAATGATTTGATCCACGTGGAGGACGCTAAAGGAAATTGAGTGAGGCTAAGGAGAATGTGGGTTTTAGCAATAAGAAATGACATGATCGACTTAAAATTTATTAAGGATATAACTTTAAATAGAATCAATCATAGAAAATAGATGCATGTAATCAAGCCCAAGTAATTGGGACAAAGGCTAAGTTGAGTAGTAGAAGTAAATATATGAAAAAGATAAATATGTATTTCGTACTGTATGGAGTTGTTAGAAGTAAGTAATGCTTTCAAATTATGGAATGTTTCTAATTTAATAGAGAATATGTTTTGCAGAATTTTCTGACACTTTTGAAGCTTCACTTGGAATTGTATTAGGCAATTCTAGACATAGGAGTGCAGCATAGAATTTTCATCCTCTTTTCTTTCTTCTTTATGTTCCACACTTTCAGCCCAAAAAACTCCAAAATCAGAGTTGTTTCAAGCCTTTTCATAGCCCTAAGAATCCTATTTCACAACTATAATCTCTTGCCCAAAATAACACAAAACTTAAAAGCATGGTTATTGTTTTTGTATTATTCACAACACTCAGAATAGTCACCGAAAACTCCTCTTTTCTTGTTGAATTAAGCCTCAAGCCTTCAGCCCTTCTATGCATCAATACTAACCACCGAAATTCAATATTTTACCAACCTTCCAGCCGTAAGAATCAATTGAAAGAAGCTTTTAAAACCCACTCCTTACTGCTACCATATATTTACATTCGGGCTTAGTATTAGTAGGAGAGTGTTTTAAGGGGCCATTGTTTGGTGCAGTGGTTAAAACTCGGGCTATTAAGCTTGAGAACCTGGATTCTATTATGAGAACAGCTACTTTGTGCATATTATGCTAAAGGTTAGTATGTATCTAGTCTTCCTCTCCAGGCACCTGTCAAATTCAGGGACCGTTATTGGGAATTGGACTGTATTAGTAGAATTTTCCACATTTGTCCTATGTAAGAAATAGCAGGTTGGGGCTATGGTTAAATTGAGAAGCAGAGTCATCAAATTCTAGCAATGTGGCCAATCCACTGTTTTTCTTTCTTTTTGTTGCTTAGTAGTTACTCTATATATGTGAATTTCTATTTTAGATTAGTAATATTTGGATTACGTAAATAGTTTTACTCCAAATGCAGGCTGGAAGCCGGAAACTGCTACTTGATGTGGTTCCTGTTTTGTGGAATGACATATCTGTCTTGATGAAGTCCAGTACAGCAGCCCGTAGTCCTTTACTTCGCAAGTATCTGGTAAAACTAAGTCAGCGGATTGGGCTTACTTGCCTCCCTCATCGTTCACCATCCTGGCGTTATGTGGTAAGAAATGCTGAATTCTGTGTAATTGTGGTTTTGATGTTTATCTTTCTAGAATTTGATTTGTCTACCTTGGTCAAGTTTATTTTTCTGGTAAAGTACCAAAATATAATATTAAAACTGAAAATATTAATTCTTATGGGGGTCAAGAAAGTGTAAATTGTTGTATGTGTCTGCTAATTGATATATTTTTTCTCAAGAAGTTATATATAAAAAAGTTAATCACTAACAGAACATTAGAGGTTAATTTACAACCAAATTTTCTCTTTTCTTGACGTCTATTTGTCCTCAGCTATACTGCTCTTGTCCTTTAAGTGATAACAATAATTCACATTTGGGATTTTTTGTGTATGTGTTGGAGCATATGGCTTTTGTGATAAATGGAGGAAGTGCATCTGTTATTTATATTCATGGTCAGATTCTTGGTATTAGTTAATGGCTTTCTAGCAAGTTTTTTCGGGAGCTCTGGTAGCTTGAAACAGGGAAATTCTCTTTTACTGTTGCTATTTAGTATAGAGTAGAGGTGTTGATCTGGACAAATGGTAGAAGGTATTAGGGAATCCATGAGTGGAGAAAATTATAGGTTATGCTGATTGTATCAACTAAAGATGTTTGAAGTGTTCATGGGTGATTGCATGGTAACTTCCATCCATTAAATGTAATTGAATTTTAATCATATTCTTCACATGCTTTTATATTGTACATTTTAAAATAGATGTGTATACATGTTTATATGTATATATGGATGATTCATTGCTCTGAAACAAGAGGAGAAAATGAATGAAAGAGATGTAGCCCTTGGGCTTTCGTGTGTCGTGGAATTATGCATGGCCTGTAGCAAATAATTATGGTGTTCTTCTCTTTTTTTTGTTTATAAAGTTTTGTTACTGTTTACAAAAGATCAGGATTGCAAATTAAAAGAAAAGAAAAGGAGTCAAATTTTTTTTTTTTTTATAATTAAAAAATGATCCCCCCCATAGGAATCATTGTAGCATTCAATAATTTAACAATTGCAAACATCAATCAATAATACAATTCTCTTTTTCTCTTTATACATTAAATTTCTACACTTTTCATAAGGTGCTTTTGGCGGATTAAACGTGGGAAATATGATTGAAGTATTGGTTTTATTGGAATATGATGGTAATAAAGTCTATACAACAAAAGAATATGATATGTGACTGCGAGCAGCTGTAGGAGAAAATATTTTAACAAGTACAAGAAGTTTTAGTGATAATGTAGGGCTATAAACTGACAAACAACATAATTTTCCCACATAGAATAGTAGTAGTTTTGAACCAAGATTAAAACACTAATCTGTGATTCTTTCCCAAACTCAAAGAAAATGCTTTAATTTGGTAGTTTCTCAGATTTGGAAAGAAAGTTAAACAGTGGCTTAGAGCTAGCCTCTTGCATGATACACTGTGATAAAGGGATCAGATGGCGCTGCAGGGTCAGCTGCTCAAAACCTAAGCGACTAATTCTTCAGACCTTAGCTGGTGAGGAGCACTCAGCTCAAATTTGGATTTTCTTCAGAAAAAGTGTCACCTCTCTGCAGATCAATCCTCATTTAAACTAGTTCTCTTAACCCCACAGGACTTTAATACAAAAAGACCCCAAACTGAAGGACATCCAGCCAACTTGCGAAACACTCCCAAACACCAAATTATTTGTTTATAAGGATGAAGTTAAAATTGACAGGTAGAGACAAAAATGATAGAAACAAAATGAAGTTTTATTAATTAAATGAAAATTTTCAAGAGTAAAATTAAGTGATGGAGAAATTGCATTACTACGAGTCAAGAACATTCTAATTGGGTTGACACCTACAGACGTGCATATCATTTTGCATTATTCCACTCCAAAGTTTATACAAAAATTAATCTTCATTAAATTTATTTTTTTCTGTAGGAAAACGTTCACAAAAATATTGGAATTACTGAAAATTGGGTCAGGCCTCGGGCTGTGCCAGTTGGGTTGAGCCTCAGGCTTGGCCAGGCTTCAAAAACCTTTGCCCAGACCCTACTTGAGAGGGGTCTGGGCCAGTCTCAGTCCAACCTATGGACCTCAGACCAAATTTTCATGCCTAGAGGAAGTTTAATTTTGTACCAAGGTTGTGCCGCCTTTGCCACCTTTTTTTTTTGTGAACAAAGGGGAAAAAAAAAGAAGAGAAAAAACGATGCTAGGGGAATTACTTGAATGATTCATTTAATTGTAGCATAGATTGTATCTCAGTTTGCTCTGTGCAGACACACATGTTTCAATGTTTGTGCGTGTTAATCATCCTGTTTTTAGTATATTTTAATTTTCTGTCTTATATCATTTGCTTATCTGAACTTTCCTTTTAAGTCCTTGCAAGCTACTAAATTTCATATGAACTCCACTCTGATCATATACTTCTGCTGGACACTTATCCCTTCCATTTAGGGTAGACACAGCACACTTGGGGAGAATATTGCACCAGGTGTGTCAAGAAGAATTGATCAATGCAATCACAGTGCAAATGATGATTGCAATTCTAACAAAAATGCAGTCTGCCCGCAAGAGGAAGATATGGATGTTCCAGAGATTGTTGAAGAGATAATTGAGTTGTTGCTGTCAGGATTGAAAGATACGGTATGTTTAAAGGGTGAGATTCTATCATAATTTAGTATAATTTTATGTATAATAAAGTACTTTGTATAATGAAGATATTGCGTAGATGCTGATGTTTTCTCCATGTTGCTAATGTTTTCTCTTTTTGCCATGTTGCATAATTAAACTATCGACCGACGTTTATATATAATTGCATAGTTGCTGCAACTAAAATTGCGACTTTGTCATACCATAGTTTTCTGAAACTGAAGTCATGACACTTTCATTTGGTGCCACTTTCCCTAGATCTCATGTCACCTAGTAGGAGGATATGATGGAGATATGGCTGAAAAGGAGTCTTACATATGGTCCATAAAATGCATTGACTTTCTTTTGAAAAACCTTCTGAGGTAACATGAAATGGCCTCCAATGCAGTTTTTTAATCACAAAGAAACCTTCATGGTCTAGTTTTTTCTATTTATAAAGTAAATTAATGCCCATTCTCATTTCACTGTGACATCCACACACTTTTTATTTTTTATTAATTAATTTTTTTTTATCTACAAACTGCCCCTCTCATGTTTTCTAATCCATAGAATGACCTCATCTAGGAATTCTTTAATTCCATGGAGGCCACTAATAATTAATTATAGTTACCTTTCTCTCTCTCTTATAGTATAGAAGTGTTTTTTGATATGTTGTTCTCTATATGCAGTTTGATATAACATTCTTCAAATATAGTACCTAATTTAATTAATGAGTTTATCAATTATCTAAGAAATAAAATTTTAAAAGAATTTACTCTTTAAAATTATAAAAGAATTTACTCTTTAGTCTTAATATAGGACAGAAAAAATTTACTTGGTCCTCCTAGAGTAGAATCCTGGATCTGCCATTCCACAGGACCACAACTATCTTCAAATGTTTTTGAAGATAGTGGTGTCTTTAAAAATTTTTGGCTGAAGAATGAATGAAGTAAATGAATTATAATTATTTCTGGATCAGTCTTTTTGTTTGCAATTTTGACAGTTTTTTCTGCTGTAATTTATGATAATTCAGGACACTGTTGTGCGTTGGTCTGCGGCAAAAGGTATTGGTCGTGTAACTTCACATCTAACATATACGCTCTCAGATGAAGTCCTGTCATCTGTATTAGAGCTGTTTACGCCTGGTGAGGTATGCTAGTCCAGTTGGTCACGTTTTTTGCTTTTTGTTTCACAACATCATTGCTATGGCTATTTTTACAAGTTAGACCTTTGCGTCTCTGGGAATACCATGAGCAGTGATTCAGATGTGTCTTCACTTGCTTCATTATATATTCTTCTGTCAGTTTCAGGGATTCAGGTATGCTGATTCTTTCTAATTTTCCAGGGAGATGGTTCATGGCACGGAGGTTGCTTAGCATTGGCTGAGCTGGCTCGTAGAGGATTGCTCTTGCCCATCAGTTTTCCTAAAGTTGTACCTGTTGTTGTAAAGGTTGTGCATTGTTTTCATGTTTACTAGTTGATGAATAGAATCTAAGAAGCATGGACACTTCTAAGAATGTGACGTATCCGTGTCATGTCCGTGTCAGACACCGATACTCTCAGGACACTCTCAGGACACGTGTCCGACACTCTTCAAAACGTGTCCTATTTTTTAAAGACCTGGACACTCGTTGGATACTTGGAGGACACACGTGTCAATCGTTTACACACACGTGTCTAACGATTAGACATATGTGAAACTAATTATAAGTTTGAATAAAATAACTTAAGATACAATAATAAAACAAAAATCATATAAATTTATAAAAATTAGTTTCATATTGCATTTTTTATTATCTTTGAATGATATATTCATATATATAACATATAATAAATATATAAAATTATATATTTCATGCGTGTCCCCCACGTGTCGTGTCTTGCATTTTTTGAAAATTAACGTGTCAGCGTGTCCGTGTCGTACTCATGTCGTGTCACGTATCCGTGTCCATGCTTCTTAGAATAGAATGTTTCTTAGGTGGTGTTTGATAAAATTGAAAATTGAAAACTGAAGATTAAAAACTAAGTATTGAAAACTGAATGTTGAATTTTTTAAGCTGAAAAGTTGTTTGATAAAAATTTAAGTGCTGAACTAAAAATAAATTGTTTGATAGGTATAGGATCAAATTTGAAATTTATTATTTTCAAATCGTATATTTTAATTTTTATATTGTAATGATAGTGGTAGTGGTGGTGATGATGGTATGATGGTGATGATGATGGTGTAAGATTTTTTGAATGTTTCTGTATATTCAATTGTGTACTAATACAAAGCATACATCTGATTATATAGTAAACCAAACCCTAAGACTAAAAAGGAAACATTGCCATATATATACACTTAAAAACACTGCCATATATACACCTACACAATCTCTCAGAAAATGAAACACTGCCATATATATAAACCTAACCTAATATTTTCACACCCCCGCTCAAGCTCAAGCTCAAACTCAAGGTGTTGTAGCAAAAAACACTGAGAGTTGCCAAGAAGAAACTGAAACCGAGCAATGGTGTGAGTCTTGGTAAAAAAGTCAGCAAGTTGCAAAGTCGAAGAGACGAAAGAAAGCGAGATAGAGCTAGAATACAGAAGCTGACAGACAAAGTGACAATCAATCTCAATATGCTTTATTTGCTCATGGAAAACAGTGTTATGGATAATCTGAATAGCACTACGATTATCACAATAGAGGGAGGTCGGAGAAGACTGAGGGACGCCCAAATCAGAGAGAAGACAACAAAGCCAGACAACTTCAGCAGTAGCGTGAGCCATAACATGGTACTCAGTTTTGACAGTAGAACGAGAAACAACAGTTTGTTTCTTGTTTTTCCAAGAAATCAAGGAATCGCCAAGAAACATATAAAAATCAAAAGTGGACTTACAATCTGTAACGTCACCAGCCCAATCAACATCAGCATAAGCGACTAAAGCCAAGGAAGAAGTAGAGGGAAACAGCAATCCTTGAAAGATAGTACCGCGAAGAATCCGAACCAAAGTAGCCTAATGTGTAGAACGAGGAGCAAAAACGAACTGACTAATCATATGAACAGCATAGGCAAGATTAGGACAAGTAACCGTTAGATAGACTAAGCAACCCACGAGCTCCCGATATGAAGTAAGATCAGTCAGAGGAACACCATCGGTAATATTAAGTTTCACATTAAGCTTAATGGGAGTATCAGCAATCTTAGTGTTAGTAAGACCAGCACGGTGAATAACTTCATTAGCATACTTGGCCTGAGACAGTGAGTAGCCCTTGGGAGAAAAAGCTACCTCAATACCAAGAAAGTACTGTAATAGGCCCAAATCCTTCATTTCGAAGGTGCGGAAGAGATGTTGCTTGACCTCAAAAATAGCATAAGAATCAGAACCAATAATAATCATATCATCCATATACAGTAATAAGGCAACAAAACCAGCAGAGGTGTGGAGGAGAAATAAAGCAGAGTCCTGGGCAGAAGGATGAAATCCAACCTCAGTAACAACAGTTGAAAAGCAATCATACTAAGCACAAGGAGATTGCTTCAGACCATACAGAGCACGCTGAAGACGACAAACCTATCTAGAGGAATGGGAAAGCCTAGGGAGAGGATGCAAAGGCGATGGAAAACAGGCTAATAATAGCGATAGCCTTTTTAAGTGAGACTGTAACTCAAAAAGACACATAGGATAGACCGGGCATTAAGTTTGGTCCTATTTTTACGGGGTAAAAGGATAAAAGAAATAGACCCAAACACATGAAGGAGGGAGTAGAAAGTTGAGAAAACAGTGCCTCATAAGGAGATCGACTAGAAAAAAGAGGGTAGGCATACGGTTGAGAAGAAAAGCAGTAGTAAGAATTGCCCCACTCCAAAACGGAGCCGGAACGAAGGCAGAGAGAAGAAGAGACCTAGTTGTCTCAAGGAGATGACGGTGTTTACGCTTAGCTGGACCATTTTGGACTAGTGTATCAGTATAAGAAATTTGGTGAATGGTACCAAAATTGGCTAAATATTCACAGAACGCAGTTTTAAAGTATTACCCGCCCAAGTCAGACTACAACAATTTAATAGTAGACCCAAACTATGTAGTGGCCATTGATTGAAAAGTACGGTATATCTAGTAGAAGTCAGACTTATGAGTCATAAGATAAACTCAAGTGTAATGGGTGCAGTCATCAACAAATGAAACATAATATGCAGAATCTCCTTTAATGAGAACATGAGAAGGGCCCTAAACATCGGTATAAACTAAAGAAAATGGTATATCAGATATAGAGGTACTTTTACGGAAAGGTAAGGCTGCCATTTTGGTAAGTTTACACCCCCGACATTTGGTAAGTTGATTAGGAAAAATTTTACCCAATATACCTGACTGAGCTAAAGGCCGTAAGCAGTCAGCAGGCAAATGTCCTAATCTGGAATGCCACAAATAGATAGGATTTGACAAAGAATCTAACTAAAAAGAGGAAAAGACAGTTGGAGAGATAGTCATAGGTTCTAATACCATGTAAGATTTTTGAATGTTTTTGTATATTTAATTGTGTATTAATACAAAGAATATATCTGATTATATAGTAAACCTAACCCTAAGACTAAAAAGGAAACACTGCCATATATATACACTTGTACAATCTCTTAGAAAAGGAAACACTGTCATATATATAAACCAAACCTAATATTCTCACAGATGGTAGCGGTAGCGTTGACGGTGGTGGTAGTAATGGAAACGATGATAGTGATAGTAAAATGATGGTAGTGTTTATGGCAACAATGACAATGGTGATGAAGAAGGTGGTGGTGGCAGTAGTGATGGTGGTGGTAATGGTAGCGGTGGTGATTGTGGTGGCAGTGGTGTGGTGGTGGTAGCAGTGATAGCGATGGTAGTAATAGTAGCGATGATGGCAGTAGTAGCAGTAGCAATGGTGGTGGTGGTTGCGGTGTTGGTGGCATAATGGTGGTGGTGGTTGTTGTGGTGGTGGTGTTGGTAATGAGTTTATAATAGTGTTTATCAATAGTTATTTTTAATATTTATAAATTTAGTCAGAATTAAGTAAGTTTCATACGACTTAAAATTTTCTAAAATTTTAGCTTACATTTTAAGAGGCACTTAAGTTTTTAAGTGATATCAATTATGGGTATCAAATGGGCTTAATTGATTATTACTTAATACATTGAGTTTTAAGTGCTAAATCAGGTTATCAAACACCCCCTCTTAAGAAAATCCGGCTTAATGTTTACATTCACTGTTTAGGCTTTTGACTATTGTAGTTTATGTTGGGTATGCTCAATAAATTAATTATTTTGCTCTGTAACAGTTTGATTTCACTCATCTTTTATATCAGAACTCTAGCCCTCTCTCTCTCTCTCCCCCCTCCCCCCCTGCTTTTTTCATTTGCTTGTGGGTGGCATTTCTGTGCCTGTGTGTGGTGTAAAATTATAACCTCTAGGTGTCAATTATCAACTCGAGCTCTGTCTTTTCTACTGTGTCTGTGAAATGGATTTTGGTTTGACTTGGGATTTGTATGTTTTGTTTATGCACTTCAGCTTAAATTGTAGAATTGCTAAATTTCATAGGACTGTTCATCACTGGTTGCTAATTGCTTTATGGTACTATTTCATATTGTGCTATGTTAAATCACCAATTCCCCTAAAAGTTCAAGCTGTTAGGAAACAATTTATATCAAGCTAACACTTCCCTCATGTGTGACCCCATCTCACACGTGGAGAGACAGATTGACTTGAGCAAGGTGCATAAACACAAGCAGGATAGAGTGTACAATGACAAAAATAACAGGGGTGACAAGACTTGAACCCAAGATCTCCTTGAACTAGAGCTCAGATACCATGTTATATTACCAATTACCCCCAAAAGCTTATTTTTAGGAAAATGGATCCAACATTGTATATCAAGTTAACATGCTTGACGCTAGTTATCTGCATTAGTTGGACTTGTACGACTTTATTCATGATTTTTCAATTAGGTTTTCTCATCCTATTATTTATGATTGTGCACATGCATGTGCACATTCCTTCCAGTTTGGATATTACATTGAGGGGATGAATATTGACACATTTTCTTGTACCCCTTGAGTGTTATCCTGCTAGATTGACATTTTAAAATAGATGTTAAAACATTCTATGACTTTGAGGATTAAATAGCTAAACTAGGTGTATGTGCAATATGAAGATTACAGTCGTGGGCACTGATAAAGAACAAATCTTCTCGACAGGCGCTGCAATATGATATTCGGAGAGGTCCACACAGTGTTGGATCGCACGTACGTGATGCTGCTGCTTATGTTTGTTGGGCATTTGGCCGTGCATATTATCACACGGATATGAAAAGTGTACTGGAACAGCTTGCTCCGCACCTTTTAACGGTGGCCTGCTATGACCGTGAGGTGCTTGACAACATATCATTACTGAGTTTCTTTTGTTTCTGCATTTTTATTCCTCCTCAGGATGTCTCCTATTTTGTTGTTGTTATCTTTGTCATGCCAAAGCTTTTGATATGTAATACGTAGGTTAACTGTAGAAGAGCAGCTGCAGCTGCTTTTCAGGAGAATGTTGGGAGACAAGGGAATTATCCTCATGGCATTGACATAGTGAATACAGCTGATTATTTTGCACTATCCTCACGAGTAAACTCTTATCTTCATGTTGCTGTCTGTATTGCTGAGTATGATGGATACCTTCTTCCTTTTGTTGATGAACTGATAAACAAGAAGATCTGTCACTGGGTATGTTCAAATCTTAAACTAAATTGTTTTACCTCTTTCAGAACTTTCTCTGTGAATGGATGTATATTTTTAATGGATGAATCTACAAATAGTTCTCATCTTTTTCCCGGAAGAGTTTTCTGTTATGTTTTAAACTTTTAGTAGTTACTTTCTTCTGATACTATACACAACTTTGTTTCCTTTAAAGGTATTGCCCACCAGCCTAACCTTCTCAGCCAAAGATTAGTAAGTTACTATACAAATATGGATACAGATATGGGCACCATCATGGTCATGGACACACAAACAAAGGCTGCATCACTGCAGGATGCCCTACTTTCACTACCTCTTCCTTCCTAATTAATGTACAAGACAAGATGTATTATTTATATGTTTTTATTTGCTTTGTATATGAATATTACACTTCCAAACAGCTAAAAATAATGAAAAACTAAACTAATTTAATATAAAAAACCACCCAATTTATAATTTAATCATTCAACATACAAAATACTTTTTTTGTCAATCTTAAACATTACATCGGAAATGTTGAAAACCTTTGAATTAATAATGTATAGATCATTCATCAACAATAAATAATCACAAGTCAAATGTGTCTTTGGGCATGTTCGGAGTGTACATGTGATGTGTCCTCGTCATATCCAACGAGAAACAAGAAAAATTAAAAATAGATGACACGCGTGTCGGACATGTGTCCCGGCATGTCGGAGGCGTGTTGGTGTACGATGTCCTTGTTGGACACATCTTCAGCGACTAATATGAAGTGTTTATTTTTTTCAATCATCATGCAAGACATAGTCTACATACATGATGCTAGTCTGCAACATGACTATCTGCCAAAGCAGAGCTGTTTCCCGTATGTGGGATCTAGAAACCTGAGTCTATGTGGTGAAATATCACCATGGAAACACAAAATGTCAATTGGTTCCTCCATCAACCAACAAAGCCCTTCTTCTGCATGAAATGAAATAGAAACTGCTAACAAACATGATCTTGTGTTTTTTGTCACCCAAAATTTGACTCTTCAACTTGGATACCGCAGTGTCTATATCCATCAACACCTCATTCAAAATTTGCCTTCCTCCCACAAAAGCATTTTGACTCTCCAAAAGCACTCCATTCACTTTTTTCAACCACATAGCTTGAACTTCAGAGAGGATCTTATAAAACATTGCCTACCAAACTGATAGGTTTAAAATCTCTAATATTTTCTGCTCCCCCTGTTTTGGGGATAAGGCACTGTGATGTATTAGAATTCCTCTCAAGAGATCAATGCTCAGAGAAGTAGTGGAAAACTGCCATCGCATCACATCGAACAACGCTCGACACTACTAAATGAAAGCTGAAGTGAAGCCATCCAGCCTTGGAGACTTCTCTCCATTGCAACTATTCAATGCCTCCAGTAGTTCCTCTTCTGAGAAGGGTCTCTCAAGTCAAACCGTTTTCTTCTTTAGATATAACTAGAAAGTCCATATCCTCCAAAGTAGGTCCTTAACCTAGCTCCTGAATGCAAACTTGAACAGAAGTCCACGATGTTACCACTAGTGTCCTCCTTTGGAGATAACTCCGACCCATCAATTATTAGTGACCCAATGTTGTTTGATTCTCTGGTTAATATTTGCTTAATCACTCCATTTAGCTCATATGACCGAAGTGTACTTTGAAATCCTCTTGTTGGATGGAGTTATGCTATATTAGCAAATATACTATTTAATAACTCCTGCTCCACAGAGTTTTAAGTCATCTTGTGCTGTTTTTTCTGTTTATTTTCTCATTCCAGCAAGAAGACATCGCAAGTTGTTGCCTTATCTTTCACGTTCTATTACTTTTCTTTTTAATTGAATTTCGTTCCTCTAATATACATAATTTATAAGTGCAGTGCATTTGACAAACTATATTTAAGATCTATGGGTATGTTCCTTTTATTTTAATTTTCTTAAATAAGACTAATGGGTTTGGCATTTGTCTTTTTGTCATTATTAACTAGTAATTGTGTTTTCGGACAACTGACTCATGGTTGACATCTTTAGGATAAAGGCTTGAGAGAACTTGCAACAAACGCCCTTGCTGCTCTTGTAAAATATGATCCTGAATATTTTGCAAATTATGTTCTGGAGAAATTAATTACGTGCACTCTCTCATCTGACCTGTGCATGCGTCATGGTTCAACCTTAGCAGCTGGGGAAGTTGTTTTTGCTTTACATCAGCATGATTATGCTCTTTCAACAGGTTGGTACTATTACCTGCTTTTTTCAAATGTATGCTTAATGACTGGAAATGCAGTTAAATCTGTTGGATCCTGTGATTAGGGAGAAAGAGGTACACCAGCAAAAAAATAAAAGGAAGTGAGAGGTTGTATGTGAATGTTATTATTATTGGTTTTTTTTTTTGTATTGTTTTGTTTTGTTTTTTAAGATAATGAGATTGCGATGCTTCAAGAGCTTTATTGTTGGAAAGATTCTAGCTCAGAACTTGGCCAGGAAAATAGCTGTTTTAATTTTCTACTGCTCTTTTTGTGATCTTTTAAAAAAATTAATCTCTATGTCAGTGGCAGACAGTAATTTTGTAATAGTCTGTAAACTGGCTGCCAGGCAGGCTTTTTGTTATCTAATTTGGGGCTTCTTGTTGGTTTTAGTTAGTCCAGAAAAGGGCAATTGGTTCTTGGCAACATAATGGCAACATAAATTAGTTGGGTACCAAGTATTTACAACAAAATTAAATGCTCTATAGGGCCTCTTTAGTACATAAATTGATGATTAAGAATTATTGCTCACGTGGGTGTGAAAATGGAAATCCTTATATTTTTGTGTGAAATTAATGCTGTTGTAAAATGTCATAATTTTGTTACTGAAAAGCACAAATGGCTTATAGTTTATTTTTTATTTTGGTGATTTTGGATTAAATGTGGCCGGGCCAGCACCAAGACTGACATTAATTGGAGGAACATTCATGAAATCATAACCATGCCCCACAATACTGAGGAACATTTATGAAGACTCGTATAGTACCCTGTCTTGTCAAGTTGTTTTAATTAGTAAAGAAGTTTTGTCATTTTGTTCTTAGATATACTGATTAAAGTTGATAGCTTCTACCTTGAGTTACAAACCCTCCAAATTTGTCTCACAGATAAACAAAAACATGTGGCTGGTATAGTTCCTGCTATAGAGAAAGCACGGTTGTATCGTGGAAAGGGTGGAGAGATAATGCGTTCTGCCGTTTCCCGCTTCATTGAACGTATCTCTTCAGCTCACATACATCTGCCTGAAAAAGGAAAGCGAAGTTTGCTTGATACTCTTACTGAGAATCTGAGACACCCTAATTCTCATATACAGGTCTTTTTTTATTATTTTTTTATATTTTAAATTCTGAACTCTTTCCTATTAGGTTTTTTATTACTCTTTTACAATAGTGTTATTCCTAAAATTAGCTTTCTGCATGATTTACAGAATGCTGCTGTTGAAGCCTTAAAACACTTCGTTCCAGCTTACCTTGTCGGTGCAGATGATAAAAGTGTTAGTGATATCATGTCCAAATACCTGGAACAGTTGACCGATCCTAATGTGGCTGCAAGAAGAGGATCTGCATTCGCAATCGGTGTCTTGCCTTTTGAGCTTCTGGCTAAAAGATGGAAGATTGTGATACTAAAGCTTTGTAGTGCATGTGCAGTTGAGGTACACTTGATGGAAGATTTCTTATTGCCGCTATTCCTGAAATTCCTATTTGTAAATAATTAAATGGAAGATTATTTCATGTGGCTGGACATTTTTACATTTGCAGGATAAGCCTGAAGATAGAGATGCTGAAGCGCGGGTAAATGCTGTCAAGGGACTTGTATCTGTGTGTGAAACATTAACTGAGACAAGAGAATGTTCTGATTGGGATGATATGCCTCTCTTTTTATTGATCAAGAATGAAGTGATGCAGACTTTATTTAAAGCACTGGATGATTACTCCGTAGATAACAGAGGTGATGTAGGTTCTTGGGTTCGTGAGGCTGCCATGGATGGCCTTGAGAGGTGTACATATATCCTCTGTAAGAGACATTCCATGAACGTCTCAGGTAAATCATGTGGAGTTGAATCTATCTCAGATCAGCCTGAGGGTGAGATGGTTGAGAATAACCAGATGTATACGTTATTCGATGCAAATCTGGCAACCAGTTTGGTTGGAGGAATCGTTAAGCAAGCTGTCGAGAAGATGGATAAAATAAGAGAAAGGGCTGCAAAGGTTCTCCAAAGGATTTTGTATAACAAAACAATTTTTGTGCCCTTCATACCTTGCAGGGAAATGTTAGAAGAAATCATTCCCAATAAGGCTGAATTAGAGTGGGGGGTAAGTATAGATAGCTTTGTCTCAAGTTTGATTGGTGAGTGATTTTTTTGTTTTGACAAATAGTTCATTATGTGCTTGCCTGCAGGTACCCACTTTCTCATATCCTCGTTTCATGCAGTTACTTCAGCTTAGTTGTTATAGTAAATCTGTGCTGTCTGGATTAGTTATTTCCATTGGCGGGCTACAAGATTTTCTGAAAAAGGCATCACTCACTGCTTTGTTGGGTTATCTCCAAGCCTCTGAATCTGGAAAACACAATGAGCAAAACTTCAGAGAGTATAATTTATCTACAGACATCCTCTGGGTTCTTCAACAGTACAGAAGATGTGACAGAGTTGTTATACCTACTTTAAAGGTAATCTCAATTTTGGAAACTCTTAGCACTGAATTCTTTTAGTTTTACTACAAGAAGATCATGGCTACAAAATGGTTTGTTTTTCGTTGGACTATATATATATTGAAGTAGATGTCAAGTCATATAGTGTTCCATGTGACGGTATGGTATGGCTACAGATGGTTTGTTTGGTTATGGCAATTGTACATGTTCAGGCCTTATGTACTCAAAAGTCCTCAATACATACTAGCATTTTTATTTTTATTTATATTTCATTAATTTGATGAATCGACCTCTGTATTTCAGACCATCGAGATTCTTTTCAGCAAGAAGGTGTTCTTGAGCATGGAGGTAGGACAGTTTATTCTTTAATTTTTTCCATGCCCATTTCTCTGATATTTAGAATCCCATTCTGTCAACTTATACCTTTACTTCTTGTTCATTTCTTTTCTTTCTTGTCAACAAATTTGAAATGCATTCATACTTTTTGAGTAACTTCTTTCATATGTGATTGGCGTCTAGTAATTTCAATACCACTTCAATTGCTGGACATAGTAAATTGGTACGATAGGGGGCGTTGATTAAGTTTCATTCATTTCCATGCTCGTCTTGCTTTGAAAATTGAATCCCCAAATAACAAATAAACTCGCGCCTTGTTCAAAAAATTAGGATAACTGTCTTTTTCTTTGAGTTTCAGAGTACTTACAGCTACTAATCTATCCACTTTGATCATGTTCCCGAAAATTTTGCTGTGATCTTTGGTATGAGCCCTTACATTTCTTTAAACTGGTTTCTTAATCATGATTTCCAGGCCCAGACTCAAGTCTTCTGTGCTGGTCTTTTGGCATCACTCGCTGTTGAGTTGAAGGGATCAAAGGACTTCTCCAAGCTATATGCGGGCATTGCAATACTCGGATATATTGCCTCACTTTCTGATTCTATCAACGTCCAGGCTTTCTCCCATCTTCTGACTTTCCTTGTCCATCGATACCCTAAGGTTTGTGGTGCACACTATGCTCTAGGTGGATAATAAATTATAATTCATAGTATTATATGCTTCACAAATTCTCTTCTTATTGATGCTATTCAAGGAGCTGAGTTGAAGGCTCTAATATCCAAAAAATACGTATATAAAGGTTTTTTGAAAAAAATGGAAACAAAGGGTACACATCAAAACAAATAAAAAAGGAACCATGATGAATAGCTACCTGTTTTAGATTGAAAACTGGCTTATTTTTGTTAGACCGTCCAAACCCATGGTTGAACCAGCTAGCCAGTTAAAGTAAACCTTGAAAGCCTCCAAGACTCCTGTCTCAAGCATTGTAAAAGACAGTCTTAGGGGACTTGAACACGACAATAATTGGTAAACATATTATTTATTACTTTCACTTCATTCTCTCTCAAACACTAGTATAATTAATTAATTATTTTTTTTTATACTTTTATATTTTTATATTTTTTTATTTTTTTTTTACAGGCCATCAATATAAATATTTATGTATATATAAACATATATATTTGGTCAACATATATATCACAAAATATAAAAATAATATAAATGAATGTAACTTAATAATTATATATATATATTAAATGAGTATAATTTTTAATATGTTTATGAGATAATTATAACGTCACGATTCGATTCTGGTTAACCTAACAGTTGAACAAATGACCCTTGACCCAGTCTCTTTTTCGGTTTGTGTGGTTCGAGTTTCAGAACATTGCCCTACGTGATTTTTTTTTTCTCCCCAATTTGGTTGTCTCAGATTCGGAAGACTTCTGCTGAACAAGTGTACCTTGTTCTCCTGCAAAATGAAAGTCTTGTGGCGGAGGACAAAATAGAGAAAGCACTTGAAATTATTTCTGAAACTTGTTGGGAAGGTGATGTTGAAGAAGCGAAGCGACAAAGGTTACAACTGCATGATGTGGCTGGTCTAGAAAGTGTGCAATTTCTCAAAACTAGCAATGAAATGTCGAACAAGGACAGTAAAAAGAAGACATCAGCTTCCGATGAAAACGCATTGTATTCTTCATTAGTAGGGTCCACCGGGTTCTAACTACCTAAAATGCAACCATCATTTTGTTGTAGATAAATTTTCTTTCAAAATCTCCCATGGCTGTTGTATGCTTGACCTCCCGCCCAAGTAATAGAAATCTGAGGGGTGGGCATGTTGGTTGAAAGCTTGTTTGATTGATGAGAAAATGAAAGACTTGGGAAATTTTGGAGATTTGTACGTGTGGGGGTGTGATGTGAATTTATGTTGTTTTTTTCCTTGGGGAAGAGCAGCTGAATATACTTTTTTGGTTCCCTAGTGCTACCTGTTTGACAATGATTATATCACTTATTTCTCTTGATTCATGTTGTGGACATTAATTTGCAAAACAACTGTTTGTGTATTAGGCAAAGGATTCTCTGTTTTTAATTTTTTTTTTTTTTTATTTTAAATACCAATATATGGTATTGGGATTGTCTCAGATACACCAATCACTTATTTTTTTAATTTTTAAACAAAAACACCTATCACATTGATACAAGGTGCTTTTAGAGCACCAAATGGCTTCTATTGTCATGTACCGTTTTCCCCAAACCCTACCTTCTATCACTTGGTTGGGGTTATCTATTTCCAAAATGATGTTTCGTCTCGCCTGTTTCATGCATTCATAACCATACGATCTCATATTCAATAATTTTTTTAATTAAAAAAATAATTAGTGATTATAAGTTAGTGACAAAGGAGACAATGACTTTTCCTTTTTGACAACCACAAAATGACGGTCTTGCGAGCATTAAAAAATTTAAATCAAGCTACTCTTAGATGAACATGCCATTGAAATGTTTGTACTCAAATGATGAACATGAAATCAACAACCACTCTTTCATTAGCTATTTCATTTTGGGAAAATGTTCTTATTTTCAGAGTGACTTTATTAAACATGTTTGTTGTCTCAGTTACAGATTTGAGTTTCAAAAAATGCAATCGCTGAAAGAGGGGTAGAAAGCTGAATTCAGAACCACAGTACACACTACTAATAACAATAAAATCTCTGAATTTAAACCAAAATGTTAATCAATTTGTAAAAAAATTACACTACAACACTCTGCCATAACGATGGTGACAGAATCAACTCTTCTACTCCGTTATTGTTGGTATACGATGCAATAGCTCTATGATGGGTCACCAATTATGAACTTAACCAGGGGAACACATTGGGGGACGATGGCAAGCGCGCTGTTAGAACTTCAACACCAGTCTCTGTCACCTACATGACAAAAACAACGGCATTCTCTGTTTTCAAGCAGCTGAATTGTCCAACAATATGTGTAGCAAACATGATATTTGATATCCATTTCAAAACATTCATCAAGACCTAGGTCAAATTTATGTTGTAAAATGATCAGCCTACTCGAGCTTGACTCTTGTTTGGCTCGTTTGAGATAGAATCATTATACAAACAAGCTCTTGAACACATTTTAACGGTTCAAACCAGGTTCGATAAGTGTATATGCACTGTAAGAAACCAAGCTATTCAAACCCATTTCAATTAATCTTGTTTAAGATCGGCTTGAAAGGTAAACAAGCCAAACTTAAAACACATTTTGAAACTTAAGTTTTTCAGGCCAAGATTGAATAATCTACTATTTGGCTTGATTCGGTTGGTTTGTAGCCCTAGCCAAAGCTTACTACCATAATCAAATAGCCGGAGATTGGTTTCCACTACATAATCTACATTCATTCAAGTATTTTTATGGATAGACAAAGCTAACAAACAAGAAAGGTTAGCATTGCGTGCCAAGGATCCAATAGAAATAGCCAAATTCTCAAGAGAAACAATCATTTTGTCCTCGTTTGGGAAGAGACTATTTTAGCCAAAAAGTCACTAAAAAAGTAAAAAAGCTAGCATGTTTGGCATGCATCTAAAAAAGGTGGCCTCTAACAATATAAAAGACAAACATACTCTCACATTAACTTTTTTCCATACAACTAAAATAAGGGTAAAATGGGAATTTCAAGCAAAAGCCAAAATATCACATCAGCCAAAAAGTCGAATTTCATTCCCAAATATATTAACTTCTTTCACCTCATAAAAGAGCCAAAAGGCCAAAAAACTACTAAAAAAGCCAATTCCCAATCCACACGAGTATGCATAATAACCCAGCAAGAATAAAAAACCAATTGTGACGGCTAAATTATCTAGACTGAATCAGAGCCCATACACTAACAAAAACAAAGTAATTACAATGTTAAGCCTTATTGAAACAGAAACAGGTAAAAGGGGAAATGGAGAGTTACCAACAGTGTGTGTTCAAACTGAGCACTGCGTTTGCCATCTGCAGTAACAACAGTCCATCCATCAGGCCACATCCGATCACGCCAAACACCTATAAAATGTAAGTAGCAGGTCGCAAAATTAATCAACTAATAGGCATGGCATTCTCCCAAAATAATAATAATAATCTAAGATACCTGCATTGATCATGGGTTCTATTGTAAAGGTTTGTCCGGCCTTCATCACACCGACTACTTTGTTTCCTACTTGGGTTAAGGTCAATATGCAGAAATGACCAAATAAAACTTACTTGCAATTGATAGGAGATTGATTCATAACATTAGAGTAGCAAGTAAGCAGTTAATTTGATATTTACATTATTAAATTTATAATACATCAAGGATAGATCTTCATATGAAATAATTTATTCAAAAAATGCTTTATTGAGGATACTTGCATAATGGGGAATATTTGGTGCACAATGGTAGAGCTCTCCAATACCATGAGCGCAATATGATCTCACCTAATTTTACACAACAGAATGAAAAAAATTGTTAGATAAATGTCAGCAATTTTGATAAAAATTATGAACTCTTAGGATTATAGATCTGAAGCATTTTATTACCACAGAGAACCCTGACAGTGAAGCATGTCGGTTTATCACTTCCCCAATTTCCCTAAAACGTACCCCGGGTTTCACTGGTGACAGTGTATACAGAACCAGAAAAAGAAATCAAAGTTCTGATTCTATAGAAAATGCAAGAAACAAGGAAACTAATAGAAAGTAACACACCAAGAGTGTTAACAGAATAATTATAACAGAATGTGCAAATTCAGATCAAACAGGAAAAGCTTTACAAATATAATCATTTGATAAATTAGAGTTCCTGTAATAAAAAAAAATTAGAAAAATAAAAATGATATGACCAAAAGGTACTTTACTTTATGCAATAAAAGAAAAAAAAAATGATATGACCACATCAAAATTAGAAGAATGAGAATCAGGATTAGGTTATTAAATAAAAAAGAAAGAATAGGAATTAGAACAGGTTGAAGATGAACCGCTTGGTTTGATATTAGTTATAACTGTGTTTTGTTGGAAATTACTTCCAGTTAGATCTTTGTACTTAACTGTCCAAAACATGTATGGAACTCCATTTTGGAAAAGAATCTACTGTAGGAATTTCATGTTAAAGCCATCCAAACATGAGCTTAGGTGTTCCAAGAGCAAAACTTCAATGACCTTCCAGAAATTAAGCATTAAACAATGCAAATGGTAATTTTTATTACAGAATGTTAAAATATCAAAGGGAAAATAAGACTGGCTTCATATGAAGGAATGAAAACCATCCCTAAAAAGAACCCCATTCATGTCAATGTATCTTACTCCCTAAACCAAAAGACTGAGTAGCACTTATCGCACTCTTGATTAACATCATATGAAAGAATAAAAATTAACCGAAAAAAAAAGAAGATATATAACTCCCAAGGGTGTGTCTGGAAGGACAAATGACATTCAATAGCCACTAGAGTTAATGAACTTTTAATAGACAATAGGACAAAACTCTGAATATGATTACGCAGAAAAGCAGGTCAAATTCTATGAGCACCAAATAAAAAGTCAGGAATCACTAGCAACCAAAAAAACAAGTCATTAAAATTGATTATAAGTTGAACCTAAGAGCACAGAATATCAGGACTATATAAGAATCAGAATTCATGCTAAACCACACAAATAACCACAAAGAGAGAAGGGAGAGGCATAATTAATGGGTGGTACAGTGATTAAGTTCCAAACAAGTTGATACAATCTAGTAATAAAACGTATAAAGAAAAACAAACCAATTGATATTGCTTTCTCCAAGCACTCGTAAGTACTTTGGACCAGCTGTCGAGATGCTTCATCAACATTTCCCACAAAGAATGTTTCGCTGAGATCACCTGTATAATGAGCAATTGGTCAAGCAATGAGAGCTGAGGTGGGAGGGGGGTATATAGTGCTTCTTACCATGGACGCCTTTATAATAGACAGACACGTCAACATTTACAATATCACCATCCTCCAATTTCCTGAAACAATTCAAAAATAGTCGATCATAAATGCATCATTCAGGCTCAACTCAAATTTGAAAGTTCAGGGAAACAAAATTATCACAAACTCAAGAGAGTAGCAATAAAACAGTGGATCATTTGATCTATGAATCTCCAGAGTTCTATGCCTAGATTGGCATAATATTGGCCTTCTTTGGAAGTTGGCAATTTTAATAGGTTATTTTACTTTTTGGCTATTTTAGTAGGCTAAAATTTGTGTGTTTAGGAAGTGGGTTGAATTTTTTTGTAGTTTGATATGATGTTTGTGAGAGAAAAAGTGAAATAATTATGGGTTTGATGTGACATTTTGTCTTATTGACTATTTTAGCCTATTTTGTCTTTTTGTGAATTTTAACTTGAAAAGCCAAATTTTAGCCTTTGCCAAACAAGGCCATTGACACGTGTGCAAGGATGAAGGAGGGAAGACAAACTTCGAGAATAAGGAACTTCAATTCATAGAATTGAAGAAATTCTTATTACTTTATTAATAATTATTCATTAATAAACTTCCACTTGTAACCCCATATTACACACAATCAGATGCAGACAGTTGCCACGCAGTTCAGAATGACAAAGTGACAAACAAGTTAGTATGACATCCAACAGTGATGTAGCAATCAAACTACACCTATTTTTTTTTTTTTTTTTAAAAAAAAGAAAAAAAGAAAATCAAGAAATATAATAATCTGAAAACCACAGAATGTGTTACTGAGAGAACAGAATATCATGAGAATAGAAAATAAAATTTTATTTTATAAAAAAAAAAAAGAATTTATAACGTGCAAAAATGAATATGACGGCTGGAGAACATGAGTAAAGGGTGAAAGTATTATGTACCTTGCATCTGGAATCCCATGGCAGATTACTTCATTAACTGAACTGTAACAAATAGGAAGAACATAACATATTTACTTAATCTATGTCAGACTATGCAGTGAACATAAAAAAGTACCTACATGCAGCATGACTTTGGGAAAAAGTTATATCTTAATGGAGATGGATATCCTCCTGAAGCAGGTAAAATCAAACAAATAGTTAGCAAATCCAACCTCTAGTAGTCAACAAACAAATGGCCAGATTACTGGCTCATTGATGGAGTCAACATTACCAGATGCAATTGTTGCTTCATGAACCACTTCATCAATTTCATCAGTAGTCACACCAGGTTGAATAACACGAGCAGCTGCATCCAGAACCTCCCTTGAAATCTGAAGGGAACATATTTGAAAACAACAAATTTCAGGATTTATATTAAAGAATGGGTCATGAGAACAACGCGAACTATCTATAACATAAATTTGTTGTGCCTTTTAATTTTTTTGTTGTATTATTTTTTTTGGACAAGTAACATTATGAAAAACAAAAAAAAACATGTAAGGTGGAAAAACTTGTATGCTCAATCGGCCGAAGCCATAAATCTATACATCCATAGGCATGTGCAGATCACCTAAAACTAGACAAAAGAAGAGTCTGAGAATGGAACAGTATCACTCTCCTATGTAGAACAGCATCACCACTCATGGGACCCTGAACATGGAACAAATCAAATTCCACAAATTCCTGCCCCACCAAACAGTGAAGGAGGAGATGATTAACAATTTCCTGTGCCTACTTACACATGCAACACTACTCAATCAATATCCTGTGCCTCATCCTACGGTTATCAACTGTCAAAATAGCCTCAAGAGTTGTAGTCCTGGCAAAAAAACAACCTTAGGAGGGGCCCTACTTTACAAATACCTCTCCAGAACCACTAAAACCACCCAAATTCGGGTGGAAGGAATGATCAGAAAACGTTCCATTCTTACAAACTCCCAAAACCAAACCACTCTGACCACCCCACTAAATCTGTGTTATAAAGCATGCTAAAGAAAGTCTTCATAAACTGGATTTCCTAGTCTTCCAATGCTGTCCAGAACCGCGGTTTACACACCAAGCCACTGCCATTGAGCAAAAGGCAACCTGCAACTGGTGTGCAAGGATCAAGAACCATATGATAAAGATTTGAAAACACCTTCCTAAGAGGCCTATGATCACACCATAAATCAAGCCGAAACCTTGCGCTCCTGCCATGACACACCCTGTAAAGACCTCTCTTCGCAAACTCATCCTGCACCCTCATATGATGCCTCTTGACAACCCTGCTCCACAAGAAGCAAGAATTCAGCTAGTGGTATTACCCAATCTCTCCTATACTTCCCCTTCATCACCCTTCTCCACAGTTTCTCATTTTCTGATGCGAACCTCCACAACCACTTATACAACAAAGCTTTATTAAACACCCCTAACTTGGGAATCCCCAAGGCTCACATCTGAATGGGAAAGAACAGTTCATCCATCCCTGCCTACCAAATGGCACTTAAATTACCCATTTCCCCTACAAAGTAAATGTCTCACCAATCTCTCCAATTTCTTTGTCACAGGGCATGGAATGGTGAAAAGAAGACATCAAATTACAAATCTAGAGAGGGTACTCCTTGTCAGAGTCAATCAATCCCTCTAGGATAGATAAGGCATGTTCCACATAGAAAGCATTCTTTCAAATCTCTCTACCACCACATTCCAAATTGATATAACTCTAACAATAATAATAAATAAATAAATAAATAAATCTAAGAGGCAAGCCCACATATGCAATTGACAAGGAATCAACTTGACAACCCAGAAGACTATCCATATTTTCTAATGCCCCCACACCTATGACAACACACATAGCCAAATTGATGTGCAAGACCGATATATCTTCAAAACAAAACATCCCCCTCAACCGTCTCATCTCCTCCTTTGCCTTGCAAAACAGAAGAGAATCATTTGCAAAGAGAAGGTCAGACACTAAAATCAGAAAGCCTCCTCTATTATCCACCTCAAAGTCATGAATTAAGCCCACCCTCTCCAACATGCAACTAAGAGCCTACATCATAAAAATGAAGAGAAAAAGAGAGAGTGGGTCCCCTGCCTCAACACCCTGGAACCCAAAAATAATCCCTCAGGAATTCCATTCACAACAACCAATTTCTTCCCAAAACCTATCTTCAGCATCAGAAATAAAAGAATGTCCCAGCACACATGACCATAAGCTTTCTCAATATCCAATTCGCACAACGACCTCAACATATGACTCTTAAAGTCTAAGAATGGCACTAGGATGGGGCGAGACGATTTTTTATTTACCCCATCACCGATCCCGACGGGAATTATTCCAATTCTACATTTCCTAATCCCCAACAGGAAATATTCTAAGGCTAATATCCCTGCCGCTAAAGGGACAGGTTCCCCCTTGAGTTGGCTTTGGTAAATATTTAAACTAATTTTTAATGACTAAATTTGAAGTCATCATGCCAACATGACTAAACTCAAGCCACATGGCACAAAACATGGTCTGCATGAACATGCATGAAAGCCATGCGACTTTCTTTTATAGTGGCTTATACCATCCCCATACCAAAATCAATCGGGACTCAGCATTTGATACTGTCATCAGCCCCAAATGGCAGGGCACTGCCGATGCGGGTAAATCGTCATTCCTACTTGAGTCTACAATCTACCGCCTCAATTCCCTATCTTGGATAAAAGAACTTATAACTAGACATAGGCCTTGACTTCAAGCAAATGTTTCCACTCTTACTAGATGCTAATTCATTACACACAAACAAACAAACAAACAAAATTGGTGTATGCAAAACAAGACCTTGGATGAGTTAATGCTGCAAGCAATGAAAAAACAATAAGATAGGTCTGTTTTATGTAAATGAAACTCATAGGATAAAAAATAAAATAAAAAATGATGATTAGAACTTACTCGACAAGCTTCTCTCATTTTCTCAATTTGCTCCGGAGTTTTGATCTTCAAAACAAAAGTTGGAATAAAAAAAATAGTCTAATTTACATCAATCTGTTCAATAAAAGAAGTCTCAACTTATACAGAAATTCAAATTTAACTTAAAGAATCATGTTTCCAAATAAAAGCATACCTCAACAACATGCTGCAGATTGCTATTTAGTTCAATTTTAGGGACTCCCTGCAAAGTTAAGATACAAAAATTAACAATTGAAAAAGAGAGGGGGGAAAAAAAATTAGAGGGGAGATACGAAAAACATTTGAAGACACTGCAGTATAAATTGACAAGTTATGCACACAGCCAGATGCATCAAAGCACTAAGAACCAAGAAAATTGGGAAATGCAGAAGTTGACTTTTAATAGAATATATAAGTATGTCCCTGTTCATCGACAAACGAATCCATCACTACAGACAAGAGTCAGCATATTAATCTGATGAAATCACCTACTGGGAATCTAAACCTGCTCTGATACCATGTTGAAATATATGTATTATTGATTGATTGATTGTTACAAGATTGATTTAATTACAATTCCTATACAATCTATATATAGAAGAAAATGTGGTAGTAGGTGTAGTGGAGGTGATAGTGGGTTAGGTGAAGTGGAGTGTGTGGTGAAGTGGAGGTAGGTGAAGTGGAGTGTGTAGTGGAGTAGGTGAAGGTAAAGATGGGAAATTCTAACAGATTATATAAGCAAAGACTTAACAGGCACACATAAATAAGCCAAACAACTCACATCAATTGCCCAGTCAGGTTGATCAATATGAGCAGGTACCATACGCTTTTCTGATATGGGATATGGTCTTAGTGTCCTGTGCAATAACAGAAACCAATTTGAGTTTAGAGCAAACAAGAGGTAAGTATAATCCAAAATTCACAAAGATACCCAAAATGATTTAAAAAAAAAAAGGCTTTATATTCTTATTTTCGAGTCAAATTGAGATCAATGCTCAAAAAACCTCATGCAACAACTTATGAACTATCTAGGAGGAAAAACCAAACATCATTGCGCTATTAGACATTACTATTTCATGTGAGAATCATTGATGAAAAGCAAAATATTAATACCATACCCCAAACAATGGAACAAACAATTTTAAAAGTCGGGGATTTCATCATCACTGGAGAAGATTGACAGTGCTTGGCAGGTCAAATGTATAACTACAAAATTTATCAAATAAATTTTCACAATGCATAGAAGGCGGCCAAGCCTACAGTGGCACCTTTTTAAAGAAACCATATGATTTCCCCAGGGTCATTGAGCATTCTGGTGTTTTAAGAACATGCAATCCCCAAAACTTCTCCAGTGTTCAGGCAGATCTCAATAGGCTAGTGCTGCAGATCTCAATCTGCTAATGCTTGGAAGCAGAAGAAGCTAATGTGGGCACCATGTCAGACAAAACACAATGTGGGTATGAAAATGAGGTAAGTGTCAAGCACATCTGCTATTAGACACTTCCCAAAGTGAGCATTGATTAGAGAAATGGAGAAAACATGTATCTAGCACACTTTATGTTTCTTAAAATATTTTGAAGTACCCTAGCTTACAGCATGGCATTTCAAAGTGAAGGCACCATCCTGTATAAGCACTATTACTTTAGAAGCCACGGAAGGGAAATTGAAAAAAAATGAAACCAGTGATAATAGGTTAACCCATGTCTTAAGATACAAAAATTAGACAGTTTGACACCAAGCACTCATCCGTAGCCAAATATATCGGTAAGTTTTTTTCAAATTGTGCAAAAAATAAAAAAATTCACGGTTCCGGTTACCGCAACCGTTACACTACGGCCTTTACACCCCGCAACCGCAACCGCGTCACCGCCACCGTTACGGCGACCGCAACTGCTTTTCAGAACCTTGATCAATACACTTTAAGAAAAACATAACACCTTTAGTATTTAATAGTTTCCAACACTTGACAGTACAAAATGCACACAAAAAGTAATATGACTGATAATTTATATTTACAAATATAATTTGTACACTTTACTAAGTACATTTTAAATAAAAGGTCGAAATATTCACAGCTATTAATCATCTTTTAAAAACTTTTACTTGACATTATTTTTATTATTTTTTATTTATTTATAACTTTAACCACTCTTCCCTTTTTTCTTTTTTTCTTTTTTCAATACAACAACTGAACTGACTAAACACTAATTCTGCCAGTGTGTACAACCCAAAACAAAATTCAACCCCCCTTTGTTTTGTATTCTTATATCGGGCTGTACTGGCTAATATGGAACAATATTGAAAACTATGCATGCAAACTTGAGTCCTTGTAAAAAAAGCGTTCTATGATATGAAATTAGAGCAAGAATCAAAATTTAAAATGAATACCCTGTCCAATCAAAATGGGGAAGTTTAGGTGTTCGAGCCTGCCCTTTCTTCAAGCAGTATAACCAACCATCATTTGATGATGCCAAATTTTGTTCACCTGGAGTACTGGGCCCAAATGAGGATAACTTTGCCTTCAGATGAACTGATTTATGAGAGCTCCATGATGCCTTGAAACATTCCTGAGTGCTGATGTATAACTTAAATCAATATGAAAGCCATAAATTGAATAATAGCTAGGAAAAAAAAAAGGGGAATATCAGATGAATGAGAATCAGTGACAATAATTGCAAAGCAATGGAGTGCAAGTGGGTGCAAGTGAGAACTATGCCATTTTTGCACAATGGAGTGCAAGTAAGATCTATGCCATATTTGCATATTTCTCACTTGCGCTGCATTGATTTGCAATTATTTTCCCCGTTTTCCATTTGTCTGTTATTTCCCCCAGAAAATATTAGTAATGGATAATAAGCTAACATTTATTTAACTCATCAAGAGAACCACAGGAAACTACCCCTAAAACATGTTCATGTTCCACAAGAACTATATCAGCATATACATAAGCCAGTTAAAATTTCAACTGAGATTCTCCCCGCAAATTAGTTGCTAGAGGCGACTGTTTTTTAGGTTATGCCTCTTCTATCATTCCTTCATCTCAACCACAATCTCTACAGTTTACCAAGTAAATCTACGAACTTCCACTCTACATTCACTCATAATTAACCATCTAATTCAAATTTCACACCTAACTAGGATCTTTAGTATACACAAATTGTATAAGAAAAGTATCTGCATCTATCGAACTATATGTAATGCTTGGGTATGTGTCAGCACATGGCAATTAGCAAAAGACATCGGCCTTGTTTGGTTTGAATCTAGAGATACAATTTTTGAGAAAAAATCTCAAAAAATTTTTGAAATTTTTTTTCAACATTGCTTTTCTCTTTGTTATACATCAATCAATCATTTTTTCTCTTTCGCCTTTCTTACTCTTACATCCTACACGTCAATCAATCATTTCTTCTCTCACACCCATTATTTAACTACAAAAAATAAAAAATAAATTAAATCATCCCGAACTCCAAAACTATTCCCAAAACATACAACCAAACAAATTTTTAAATTTTGTAAATTCTTTCTAGAAAATTATTTTTCAAAATTGTTTGACAAATACAAACCAAACATGGCCATCAAGCCTGTCACACTGGATATCTGATTTCACAATTTTACCATGAGCCTCCATCACATTTCTGGAATTTGGCAGTGGCGCTAAAAAAAATTTACACAGTGAAGGAAGCAGTTACAAACCAGAAAGCAGCACCTTCCTGAGGAAGCTTCAATTCCACACACTTAGGACACCTGCAAAAAAGACAAAAGAAGGAAATAAGCAAAACCATAAGAAAATAATTGGAGAGACTATTTTTATTTTACCATAACTTCAACCCTCACAAGAGGTGTAACACCATGGGGGTACGACTGCTGAGGAACTCAAACCTTTGGTAGAAACCATATGAGAATGATGAGTTGAAAATCAGAGGAAGCCAATTCTTTTAAGAAAACTTGAATTACCCTAGATTGTTAACTGTCTAAGACATTGACTATTCCCAAAATATACTACTTTTTTCTGTTTACACAATGAAAGAAACATAATCTAAAGCCCTTTAAGATATAAGTGAACCGGAAAACAAGTGTATTGCAAAACAATTTATTCAAAAGTTTGCTTGGCTGCATCAATAATACCAGGAAACACACTTAGCCAAGGGAAATTCATTTTGGGAACAGAAATCAGCTGCACCAGTGAAGACCAGAATGGATCAAGAAGTTCAACTCCACAACAACCCTTCACTAGTATGTGTTCTTGCTTAAAAGTTCTGTTCCCCCAATTAAACTTCCAATTGCTTTGCAGAAGGTTTTAAATCAATAATTTTATGCCCTCTGATTTGCCCCATTAGAAAATTTTGAATCTTCCACTGCCCATTATTTCTCTTCTAGAGGTTTCCCAACAAGCATTGTCCATTCCAAGAGAAGAGCTAAGATGGATGAGGTGAGCATAGTGCTATCCATACATGAACTAGTCCATGCTACTATCTTCAGTATATCATACTTGCAGTACAAAGAGGGAAAAGACTCGGCCACTTGGCCTAGTGCTGACAAATTCACGATTTAGCTTTCCAGAGTATGCCACAATTTTGCTCAATAACTCATGAGCATTGCCAATCTGAACATGGCAATCTCAGTGTTACAAGAAAACATTAATAAATACCCTTGGCATTTATGCCTGGCAATTTAAAACGATCCCCAATATTTCTTTAAAAATTTCTTGAAAGAGGAAAAAATCAAATATAATGAACTAAAATCTATGGAATGAAGTTTTGGGGAGGCCAAAAAAAAAAAATGATAGCCTATAATTTTCCTAGAATTGTGTTGTTAGATGATCAATTGAAAAAATAAAACTATATTTTATAATCTTTATTTAAATGTCTAATTATTAAAAGAAAATATCTCTTACATTTAGAAATGTTAAAAATGTAATTGTACAATTTATAAAAGTGTCTACCTTCTACCATACTACATTTTAGAACACGAGGCATACCATGGTCTTTTTCTGTTCCTCGTACCGGAACAATAAGCACTCCAGGTAACTAACTTAGGCCAATCCTCCAATTAGCTTGACCTCCATGCTATAGTTTAGACAGTTATATGGACCACATTTGTTTTCTTTTCTTCCCAAATCACCCAATTCACCTGGGTTATTGCTGGTTTTAAAATGCTATTTTACTTCCTGAACAAGTAATTTGTTGTCTTCTCTCCAAAGAATTGGTCATTTCACCTTTCCACGCTATATAATAGGGTAAATTACACTCATCTCTCAGTTTAAAAAAAAAAAATACAGTTAACTCCATACTTTTAACATAATTACAATGATCACATCAAGATTTAATTCATAGTCATTTTTCATCAGTAATTTGTGAGTCGCAAGATTAAAAGATGATATTATCATCTCTTTTTTACTATATTTAACTTTGTTTATTCTTGTGTTACCCACCATTTACATTAGTTTTGATTACTTTTAACCGTACCAAAAGGGAGGTTGAGGGTAATTATGCTAACCAATATTTTTCTCAAATTTCAGGGGAGGTGAGAAAGAGGGTCTCCATAAGTTAATTTCTGAGTAGCAAAAACTCCATCAATCCTCCTAAATGCCCTAATTGTTTCTTGATTGGTCAACATTGTAAACCAAAAAAAAATCCCAATCCAAGTATACATTGAACTGTGTCTGTGTGTGTATGTAATGAATAATGTATGGTGGAGAATAAAATCGAAGAGAATAAATAAATATAATATCATACTGAAGATGAGCAGGTTTGCCACATTGAGCACAGGATAAGGTATCTGATCCACGGACCATCACTGCACAAATCAATTCATATCACAGAGCAACGTTATGATATCGATCAGAGAGTAATGAAATGAAAACTAGTACTATACAATTTGTGTTCAAGGGTGAGAGGTGAATGAAGCGCAACCTCGAATTTGAGCAAGACCGGATGGTGAAGCCAGATAGGGATTGAAGGAGAAAGAGAAGATTAGTAGGGTTGTTGCAGAAAGAGACTTGCGGGAAAAGATTACCAGGGGTGAGAGGGCGGCGCTCTGATCATTTCAAATTTCAACGGTGGGACACGTGTATACTGGGTGTTGGTTTGTTGGCAAAATTTTTTGACTTTTTTTTACGTTGTTGACCGGTTTTGTTTCACACCGACGGCGGTTGGACTAAAATAGTCTAAATATATATATATATATATGTTAAAATAATTAATAAAATAAAATTTTAACATTTAAATCATAATTATTTTATATTTTTTTTACTTTGGCCCTATTATGTTTTTGCTTTCATGTCTTGGGTTGTAAACATTATGTACAATTTTCCTCTGGCTCTTATATTTTTGATGGGTATGTATATGTATTATTGTGTTACATGGTTAACTCTATGATTTTGCTCATGATTGGCACAGCTCAATGGACTTCTCTTTATTATATGCTTCCGTTTATGGCCCTATTAGCATGAATATTCTATATGATCGTTTGAGGCCTTCGGTAATCTACGGATTACTGGCCGGTTATAACTCAAACTGTTAGGGGCGGGTTCGGGTCATGACAAAAATGCTATGGACCCCAAATGAATTACCAAATTTTATACCAAATCTCTCACATGGGTGTGATGTGCGTGAGTCCCACACCCATGTAAGAGGTTTGTAAAAAATTTAATAATTTATTTGGCCCCTAACATAACTCTTTAACTTTTAATATTTTATTATTAACTTTTAACTTAAAATAATTTCTACCAAACACTCTATACTATAGAGTAAGGGTGCAACTTATGCGAGCTCAAATCGGGCAACCCGAACCTAATTCGATTTTTTTTAGGGTTTTGACAGGATATTTTTTAAATTCGGTACGGGCTGGGGTAACGGAAATCCGAATTAAATTTGGGTGGGTTTGGGCATAAATGTCAAACAACCCGAACAATCCGAAACTCAAATTTTACATATATAGATATATGAAAATATTAAATATACATATAAATTAGTAGTCATTACATGATATTAAAGTAATTTAGATTATTAAATCATATTGAATATTTATTATATATACAAAATAACATAAAGTCTTACTTTTTTTTTTATTTTCACTCATAAATTGTAAAGACTACTATAGCGGTATCTCTTTTATATTATATAAATTATTTGTTTTTGATAATATTAATGATTTTCTATTAAAAAAATATATAAATAGAGTCAAATTTTAATAATTTAATAATATAACTAAAAAAAATAAATAAATTGAAATTTATTTACAATTCAGGCAACTCAAACAATTCGAATTTAACTCGAGTCGGGTTTGGATAGGTAATTTCGGGTTACAATTCGAGCTTGGATGGGCCTGAGTAGATCTCTTCATAACTTGAATTGAGCTTAGACAACCTCTCAATCCAACCGAGCCCGCACTCATATTTTTTGATTATTTTTGGAAGTGTAATTTAAAAAAAAAGTTAATAAATTATTTTTTTTCACTTTCAAAAAGGCTTGTATATTAAAAAAAACACTCAGCGTCCAGATGGTTGTTACATAAAGCGAGTAGCAATTGCATTATACTCGAAGGAGTGAGAGTTGTGTTGTGATTAAGCGATAATGCTGACTTATCTAAAGTTGGTGGTGATGTGCGGCTACTAGAAGAAAGAAAGTTTCAAACTTCCAAATCTTGGCGAGTAAAAGCGCGTAACGATTGACGTAAGCATGACATAAGAGTGACGTGGTCATTGACAACTTTACGCCCTTCAAACCCACCAAAGATCCTCTAGAGTGAAATTTCTCTAAAGTTTCCTAGAGTGCTACATTATGTGGTTGAGATTTACTGGCAAGTCACATCAGAAACTTGCCAGTAAATCTCAACCACACAATGTAGCACTCTAGAAAACTTTAGGAAAAAATCACTCTAGAGAATCCTTGCTCCTTCAAACCGCCTTTATTTATTTATTTTTGACAAATAAAGAGAAATTAATTAGCAGTATCGCGTGTGCAGTGTATACAGTGATGTTAATGCTAGGTCCATTTAGGAAATTGATTAAAGGGTAAATTATAATTTAACTTATGTGGTTTACCTAAAAAATACAGAATTTTTCTATAGTTTCATTTGTAATACTTAAATCCTCTATACTTTATACCAAAGTATAATTTTCAACGAAACTGTTTGTTTAAACAGAACGTGCTGCACGACTATGAATGAAGAGTGAAACAATTTTTCCCACCCAAAAATATATGGCAAATGACCAAGATACCCTTATTGACATATATATAAATATACAAAATGATGTAGTGCAATAAAGCATGGATTACACTCTTGGCAAAACATTAACATTTTTATCCCCAAACGAAATTCAGTGTTTGAGCATGGGTTTCATTTACCTCAAGCATTAACATCCTTTGAGCATTGGTTTGAGTATGGGTTTCATTTACCTCAAGCATTAATTTCCTTTGGTTTGTTTCATTTACCTCAAGTTCTCTCTCCCTCTCTCATTATATAAATATACAACACCATAATCTTCTATGCAAAATCATCACCATCACCTTTTGTTTCCCCTCTCATCTCACCACCATCACCTTCCATGCAAAATCACAACCAACCAACATCGCCACCATCATATTCCATGCAAAACCACAACCAATTTCTTATTCCATGCAAAACCACCATTCAAAATCACCACCACAATTTCTCTCTCTAAAAATAATCCAAACCCACTTTTCTTCTTATAATTCAAATTAGTAACTAACCCAACCCATGAAATCAAACAATTAATATGTGTAAACATTTAGATTTTTGAAATAGCAGTGATGGGATTCATACCAACCAAACCCACTTTTTCTTCCCGTTTCTGACATTTCTTTGGCCCATCTTTGAGACTCCATAACTTTCCCGATTCTTAACGATTTTATCCCGTTCTTTCACCAATCTCCTCACCCTGCTTTACACTTCATTCTACACTACCTCGTTTTTTCACTTCTTATTGAAATAGGTGGTTTCGGCATACCGAAAGTTGCTCAAAAACTTCACACATTTCAAAAAAATATCTCCAAATCTATTTCTTTCTTTTTCATTATCCACTCTCTTCTCTTGCTTCATCTATAGTACTTTGTAAAGGGTGGTTCTTGGTTTTGACGAAGCTGAACAATAGTGGTGATGATGGTGGTCACGGTGAGAGAGAAGATATCTATATAATAAAGGAAGAAAGTTTTTGAAAATGTATAAAATGTATGTGAGATACATTTTGATCCAATGGCTGAGATTAATTCCAAATTTATATCAATGGTTGAGATAAGTTTTTTTCCCGCTCAAACCCTCTCTGCTCTCTCTCTCTCTCTCTTCCACGTCTGCCAAACACGTCTCTACAACTCCCTCTGTCTCTCTCTCTCTCTCGCAACTGTCCCTCTTATCTCTCTCTCACTTTTTGTTCTCCTGCTTTAACAGACCTTCCTCTTCAACGATAGGTGAAAGAGAGAGAGCAGCAGCAATAGAGTCCCAGCAAGCAAGAAAGTTAAATTGGAAGCTAATTCGACGGTAAGAAAAGTTTGGTCCCAATCCCAGACGAGAAGCTCTCTCTCCAAAACCCTCGCCATAACCGAAAGTAAAACCTCTTTCTCTCTCTCTCTCTCTCTCTGTTTTGTGGATTGGATTATCATATTATATAATTCTCTCTACAACCGATTCAGATCTTGTTGGGTTTGTAACAGAAGATTCAGATTAAAATTCAGATCTTGCTGCTGAAAATTCAGATATTGCTGCTAAAAATAGTGAAATAATTATCATCATATAAATTCAGATTAAAATTTATCATCATATAAATTCAGATTAAAATAATTATTTCGCAAGATTCAGAGAGATTCAGAGTTATAATTTTAAATAACCCAAAAAACTTAAGTGGGAGAGAGATTACCGAAGATTCAGAGTTATCATCATATGATTATTACAAAGTGAGAGACAGAGATTACCGAAGATCTGAATTTATATGATGATAATTATTTCTAATCAGGCGAAATAATTTATAATGATAAATAGCCCAAAAAACTATAAATTATTTTGGGTTTCCTGATAATTTATAAGATCTAAATTTATAAATTATTTCTAATAGGTGGAATAGTTGCCTCTAGTATAGAACCAGGTAGCAATGCAGAACAGGTGCAGAATGGAAGGACGCATCAAAAAGAAGCAAACTCGCTTCATTAGGATCCTCAATACGAAAAGCAAGAATTAAAAACCACCCTGTTGTTGATGTCTAATGGGAGCAGTATGCATTGGGTACGACCTTTATATACATGTATTTCATATTTGTTGACACCTATGTAAACACAATCTTTGCTTGAAATGTGGTTACAAGATGGTTATGAAAATGGATGCTGCTGAGCCCTTCAATGTTCCAGTGGATCCTGTTGCCCTGGCAATACCTATAAGTGTAACTTCTTTATAGATGCTTCTCATGTGTATTATTTTAGGAACATGCTGCTAACTTTAAATTTATGGCCACTGAGAATTTCGGGTGCAATATATTTGAACCCAAATGGTTTGGAGGAAACAACTTTCAAGACATTTTGGAGTGGGTTTTATGTTGGTTAGCTCATCATTTGGGGGAGTAGAGTGGGACGTTTTTTTTTTCCATTCAATGCTTTTTGTCTTTTTTAAGAGTTAGGTAGGTTAGTTATGAAGACTTGGGAGTTTATTACCTAGGATAGGAGAGCAATGCATGGGTAGTTTCTCTATGTTTGAAGTATCATGTTCCTTTTTTCAATTACTGAAAGTCGAAAGTTCAAGGATTGATGGGGATAAGACTTTAAAGTCGAAAGCTTTGGTTGATTCGAAGAGTAAAAGTAGTAGAAAGCACGATGGTGGTGGTGGTGAGAAGATTGAATCAAGTGGGGGTTTAGTGGAAGAGAAAGAAAACAGTAAAAGTAACAGCAAAGTTAAGGATTCTAAGAGTAAGAGTAAGAGTAAGAGTAGCAGCAAAGTCTGAAAAAGATTTGGGGCGAAAATATAAGGATTCAAAGGAAAAGGAACGTGTGTTGGAGAAGAAGATTCATGAAACAGAGGTAACTGTCGATGGTGAAAAGCGATAAGGCAAACATGGTAGA